CCGTGGGGGCGGGCCCGACAGGTTTGTCGTGGGAGAGGGCGTTTGCGCGGGGCCGGGGGAGGGAGGCGGGAGGAAGCCGGGGAAGGGCAGAGCTTCAAGAGGATAAGAGCAGAGGCCTTGAAGAAAGGGGAAGGAAGAGATTCAAAAGAAAGGGCGACGGGCAGGAAAGACGGGCTCCCCTCCCTGGCTGCCTGGGGGGGTTTCCACTGGCACGGTTCCACGCGGGGCCTCAGGACGACGATTCCCTCGTGGACATAGCGGCGCCCACTCAGGATCTACCTGAGACGGGAGTGAGGGAGGAAGGTGAGGAAGGAAACAGCCCCCCCCCCCACAGCAGGACAATAGTGGCCAGGCCCGCGGACGTGCTTCTGTGAGGGCACATCTTCCAGCAGACGCCCATCATGTGTTTCCTGGCCCCTGTCGCTTGCCTCCGGCACTCAGCCCTGCCAGGCCCGGGGCTGGATCTGGTATCTAGCGCTGGGGGGCTGCCTGCCCCCGGCTTGAAGGGGTCTCCAGGGCTACTTGGGTCGTTGGCTCTCAGCAGCCCCCCGTACAAGTCGCTCAGCATCCTGAGGCAGGACGTTTCCACCCTCCAGCAGGACTGGGCCTCTTGGCTGAGCCTTTGCTCCCAGGGTCAGACGGGCTGAGTCCAGTTCATCCCTCCGCAGACGGGCGACCTCGGGGAGGGCCGGGCGATGGCTCAGCGTTCTCCCTCGTATCCAGCGTGCAGGGCGCGGGGCGGGAGCCCCATGGGCCTGTTCCTCTGCCTCCCCAGGAAAAGTTCCTGCACAGGGAGGCCGTCCTGCGCCCTCTTTGAGGCGCCTGGTTGTGCGGGAAGCCGTGGTTTCCGCCTGGGGGCAGGGGCGTGGTCTGAGCTCCGCACGGCCGGCAGCCCTTCCGCCTGGGGGCAGGGGCGTGGTCTGAGCTCCGCACGGCCGGCAGCCCTTCCGCCTGGGGGCAGGGGCGTGGTCTGAGCTCCGCACGGCCGGCAGCCCTTCCGCCTGGGGGCAGGGGCGTGGTCTGAGCTCCGCACGGCCGGCAGCCCTTCCGCCTGGGGGCAGGGGCGTGGTCTGAGCTCCGCACGGCCGGCAGCCCTTCCGCCTGGGGGCAGGGGCGTGGTCTGAGCTCCGCACGGCCGGCAGCCCTTCCGCCTGGGGGCAGGGGCGTGGTCTGAGCTCCGCACGGCCGGCAGCCCTTCCGCCTGGGGGCAGGGGCGTGGTCTGAGCTCCGCACGGCCGGCAGCCCTTCCGCCTGGGGGCAGGGGCGTGGTCTGAGCTCCGCACGGCCGGCAGCCCTTCCGCCTGGGGGCAGGGGCGTGGTCTGAGCTCCGCACGGCCGGCAGCCCTTCCGCCTGGGGGCAGGGGCGTGGTCTGAGCTCCGCACGGCCGGCAGCCCTTCCGCCTGGGGGCAGGGGCGTGGTCTGAGCTCCGCACGGCCGGCAGCCCTTCCGCCTGGGGGCAGGGGCGTGGTCTGAGCTCCGCACGGCCGGCAGCCCTTCCGCCTGGGGGCAGGGGCGTGGTCTGAGCTCCGCACGGCCGGCAGCCCTTCCGCCTGGGGGCAGGGGCGTGGTCTGAGCTCCGCACGGCCGGCAGCCCTTCCGCCTGGGGGCAGGGGCGTGGTCTGAGCTCCGCACGGCCGGCAGCCCTTCCGCCTGGGGGCAGGGGCGTGGTCTGAGCTCCGCACGGCCGGCAGCCCTTCCGCCTGGGGGCAGGGGCGTGGTCTGAGCTCCGCACGGCCGGCAGCCCTTCCGCCTGGGGGCAGGGGCGTGGTCTGAGCTCCGCACGGCCGGCAGCCCTTCCGCCTGGGGGCAGGGGCGTGGTCTGAGCTCCGCACGGCCGGCAGCCCTTCCGCCTGGGGGCAGGGGCGTGGTCTGAGCTCCGCACGGCCGGCAGCCCTTCCGCCTGGGGGCAGGGGCGTGGTCTGAGCTCCGCACGGCCGGCAGCCCTTCCGCCTGGGGGCAGGGGCGTGGTCTGAGCTCCGCACGGCCGGCAGCCCTTCCGCCTGGGGGCAGGGGCGTGGTCTGAGCTCCGCACGGCCGGCAGCCCTTCCGCCTGGGGGCAGGGGCGTGGTCTGAGCTCCGCACGGCCGGCAGCCCTTCCGCCTGGGGGCAGGGGCGTGGTCTGAGCTCCGCACGGCCGGCAGCCCTTCCGCCTGGGGGCAGGGGCGTGGTCTGAGCTCCGCACGGCCGGCAGCCCTTCCGCCTGGGGGCAGGGGCGTGGTCTGAGCTCCGCACGGCCGGCAGCCCTTCCGCCTGGGGGCAGGGGCGTGGTCTGAGCTCCGCACGGCCGGCAGCCCTTCCGCCTGGGGGCAGGGGCGTGGTCTGAGCTCCGCACGGCCGGCAGCCCTTCCGCCTGGGGGCAGGGGCGTGGTCTGAGCTCCGCACGGCCGGCAGCCCTTCCGCCTGGGGGCAGGGGCGTGGTCTGAGCTCCGCACGGCCGGCAGCCCTTCCGCCTGGGGGCAGGGGCGTGGTCTGAGCTCCGCACGGCCGGCAGCCCTTCCGCCTGGGGGCAGGGGCGTGGTCTGAGCTCCGCACGGCCGGCAGCCCTTCCGCCTGGGGGCAGGGGCGTGGTCTGAGCTCCGCACGGCCGGCAGCCCTTCCGCCTGGGGGCAGGGGCGTGGTCTGAGCTCCGCACGGCCGGCAGCCCTTCCGCCTGGGGGCAGGGGCGTGGTCTCAGCTCCACATGGCCGGCAGCCCTTCTGCCCGGGGGCAGGGGTGTGGTCTCAGGGCTGCGGAGGGCCTCTTCTCCATGGGCTCCTGCTGGGCTGTGTTGGGCAAGACGTGAATTCCCCGGTAGCTTGGCCAGCCTCTCTGGGACATCTCAGAGGAACGCCCCCTCTGCAAAATGTCATTTGGTTGCAGGGATGTTCTTCTAAGTTCCTTGCGCAACTTAGCACTGCTGCTGTTACACGGCTCCTGTTGGGATGCCCAGAACATAAGGGCCAGACCAAAGGATCCGGGATCCATCTAGCCCACCACAGGGATGTTAAATCCGATTACATTACGGTCACCGCTATGGTCACCATTTCCACGTGTAACCGCCCCCTACGCTGTCAACGCTTGGACGGGGCCCAGGGAAAGAAGGGAGGGGTTCTCCTAACGCCTGCATTTCTCGGTCTCTGCCTCTGGAGCAGCGGGGCTGTTGGCGGAGACGCATGCTGGTTGGGCTCCCCCCCCCGGTCCCAGCCGTGACACACGCTCGGGTTGGCTGCCGAGACGTCAGCGGGGGGAGAACAGGATTCGAGCTGATCGATGCCAGTGACCCCGGCCCAGTTACCCGTCACTAGGCCTGCCTGGTGCGGAGAGTATCTCATTCAGGGTGAACTGCTCAGACACTTGGCTGCCACCGCCCAAGACCGGGGGAACACCAGTCCTGCGGAGCCCGGCTGCTCCCCCCGGCCAGCTGGGAGCCACCCAAGCAAGCCCCTCAGACGCGCCAGCTCCTGTGCCCCCAGCCGCCGCCCCCCTTGGACAGACGAGGGATGGTGAAAGCCACAAAGGACCAGCCCCCTCCCCCGTCAATATGTAACTCGGAGTCTTCCCCCATGGGCGGGCCGTGCCCACCCTGTCCTGTCTAGCAGTGAAAGGCCTGTTCATGGAAAGGAAGGGGAGAGTTAGGTACGTCAGTGGGTAGAGGCCAGAGCAGCCCCCAGCCGAGTTAGGCCCACCGGGCCAGGCCGGCTAACCGGTTACACGTGTCGTTTAGCCGGTGCCATTTGAAACAGGGTTTTACATCCCTCCTGAGCGTTAGAACTGGCTAAAGGAATCAAATACCGGCCGCCGAAGCAGAACAAACTGCCGGCTTCGGGCACGTCTCTGGGGCACGTCCTCCTGGGGTGGGTCGTCCAGGCCTCGTTAGCGCTGCAGTTAGCGAAGCTCCGCCAGAGGCGAGACGCCGGGTCAGGAGGCCGCTTTTGCCCTCGGCCCTGTGGCGGGATCCCTGGGGCGGAGGGATAGCTCAGTGGTTTGCGCATTGGCCTGCTAGACCCAGGGTTGGGAGTTCAATCTTTGAGGGGCCATTTAGGGATCTGGGGCAAATTTGTCAGGGATGGTACCAGGTCCTGCCGGGAGGGCAGGGGACTGGACTCGTTGACCTCTCAAGGTCCCTTCCAGTGCTAGGAGGAGCAAGGAGCTGCAGTTTGGAGGCAGGCAGGCTGTGCCCCATTCGGCCCTTTGCACGGGGCGCCTTTTCCCACATGCTGCTCAGCGTTCCCAGGAAGGCCCCTCGGATGGGGACTGGAGCCTCCCGGGGCCCCTTGGCAGCCACGTGCTGCTATTCCACTAACCCAGTCCCTGCGCCATGGGCCGGCCCAGCACCCCGCCAGCCAGTCCCAGAATCAAACACTGAAATACCAGGGCAGAGCCAGCGCTCCTCATGCCACCTCCAGCAATGGCCCCTGCACGTGACTGGCATCACCCCCCCAGCCAGGCGGAGCCTTCCCAGAGACCCTGCCCTGCACGAGTTTGGTGCCAACACAGACCAGTGGTTGCAACAGTGACCCCCCTGGTCGTATTTGAATCAGCTAGCGTCGCCGCCCCCTCTCCTGCCAACGGGTTAGTCTCCTGCCTTGCCCTGGGCAGCCCTCACTGTCTCTCCCTGGGGGGCTGCAGTGGGAACACTGGGGAGTCTCCAAGGAGGAGACGCGGCCGAGGGGAAGCCCGGGACGTGCTAGGAGCGTCGGAGCTCTGAAACCCGGCACTCGGCAAATACAGCTCGGGGGGGGCCAGGAAATACTTGGGGGCAGGGGGAGGCGACGTCTCCTGGCCGGGCCTGCCTTTCGGTGCCTTTGTCTGCGATCACCTGTTGCATGAGGACACCAAGGGGCTCGCCCGTTCATTGGGCGAATGCGGCTTGGAACTTGTGACAGAAAACCTCCGGGCTGGGCGTGGAAGGACGGGCCAGTGCCCAGAGCCCTTGCGGGAGCCGGGCTATCCCTGGGCCTCGCAGCGCAGTTGGGGCCTGGCTTGCTGAGAGGAACCCGGTGCAGGCCGGGAGCTGTCCGGCCAGCAGTCCCCAGTCAAGGGAGAGAAATCCGGGGGCCTGCCCGAGACAATGACAGCCACGGTGCCACAGGCCTGGGCTTGTTGCCCTGGGTGGAGCCTGGAGAGAGGATACAAGGAAGTTGCCACGAATGGCAACTCTTCCCTCCCCCCCTTTTCCACGTCCCTCAGAACAGGCTGGTCCACGGCATCTCATGGGGGACGGAGGAGCGTTTGCACCAAGGGTCCGCGCTTCGGCCGCTCGCTTTCTGTGAGTCCCGTCCCCGTAGCCCACCCATCTCCTGGGTCCTTAGCGCGGGGCCAGCCCAGGCCTGCGTGTCCGAGTTAGGCCTCGCGGGGCGGGGGCTGCTCCCTGCCCTTTTCATCCCATGTGCAATCCCGGTGCTCCCTGGCGGCAGAGCTCCGCCGGCAGGGCCAGAGAGACCAGCCTTTCTCTGCAGCAGGAGAGACGGCGGTTCGGAGGAGCCGAGCTCCAGAACAGGCGGCCAAGGGGGGGTCTGGAAGCCCCTGCAGGGCCTGGCTGCTCCGTGCCCGTCCGGGAGCCCTGCCACTGGGCTGTGCCCCAGCGTTCCCTGCACACTGCTGGCGCGGCACGGAGGAGAAGAGGCCTTGCCCGTGGGCAGCGAGTGCCGTGCCGTATGGCAGCACAAATGGGAATCCACTTTTGTCTCCACCCAGGTCTCTGGAGCTCTTGTTTGCCAGCAGCCAGAACACCAAACTGCTGTACGGCGAGCCGCCCAAATCCCCGCGGGCAAACCGGAAATTCTCCTCCCCGCCCCCGGCTGGCGCGGCACGGAGGAGAAGAGGCCTTGCCCGTGGGCAGCGAGTGCCGTGCCGTATGGCAGCACAAATGGGAATCCACTTTTGTCTCCACCCAGGTCTCTGGAGCTCTTGTTTGCCAGCAGCCAGAACACCAAACTGCTGTACGGCGAGCCGCCCAAATCCCCGCGGGCAAACCGGAAATTCTCCTCCCCGCCCCCGCTCTCCATCACCAAGTCGTCCTCGCCGAGCCGGAGGCGGAAGCTGTCCCTGAACATCCCCATCATCACGGGGGGCAAAGCCCTGGACCTGGCCTCGCTGAGCTGCTCCTCCAACGGCTACGCAAGC